GAAAACTTTGAGTCAATTTGACTGTAAGATCTGGGGAACTGTAAAGTGCCTTGAGATGACATGAGATGCCTTGTGAATTGGCGCTATAGAAATAAACTGAATTGAACTGAATTGTGATTAAATAAATACAAGATGGCACCTGTGTGATGCTGTTTATTTGTATTCAATGGGGTGACTTAGTAACCAAATCTTAGTCAATAAACAGACCCCCATTAACAGTGGAATTATCTTTACATCCCGTCAGTCTGTCTCTGCTTACTCTCGGCTTTTCTCTGGATTAACACTGTGATACACAAACAAACCCTAAAGTCTGCACTGTAGTGATGCAAAGCTCATGGTTTATAACAGTTTTTGTTCCGAGTCGAGAAGTCTGCTGCAGACAGCCTCTCTGATCACCTCATTATCTCAGCTATGTAACTGTGTACAAACTCAAAATGATAACTATAATATATAAAGAGCATCAGCACTGTAGAGAATGTGGAGCAATAAAGTCAAAAGTGGGACGTGGAAAATATTTGCCTCATTCCGTCATGGAGTCAAGTTTGGATAGCCTTTTTTTATTATAAAGATAAGAAATGAATTCCGCCTTCATTTGAATAAATATTTTTTTTCAGAACTAGAAGGAGGATTACAGATTACATAAATTAATAATACAAGTTCATCAGGTCCATACTTAAAGGGGAACACAGTTTTTTTTTTACATTGGGCCCTTGATTTTACGTTATTACATCATGTTCTACTCACCCATATGAGTTTTGTGTCATTTGGAGCCGTTCTGAAGATATGGTGTTCCCCTTTAAGTCTGTTACTTCCAACCCATTCTGATAACTTAGCTTTGGATCAAATGTGAAATGGGGTCCTCAGCAAGAAAACCCAATTTTATTTATTTATTTATTTATTTTAATTAGTAAGAAAATATTGTAATGGAATTTCTCCATATTCCAGAGTTTAAAAAGAGATTAGATGTTAAACTGTGAATATTTCTGTAGTGCCACAGCCATAGTATTAATTTTGTACATTGGTGGAACAGGATGCAGGTTTATTTGGTCTCCAAGCTGCAGCCCCTCTGGAAAACTCTCCCATAAAGACGGGGTTTCAAAGGACCTGCCTGTCACTATGCGATCCGTCCCGGAAGCACGATCCGTTCTGCGCATTCGGCTCATTTGCGCATCCAGATATACATCCGGGTCGTCCTTGATTTTATTTAGTTAAAAATACCTAAATTATGTTTTTCCCTCCCCAAAAATTAGTAAACGTACTAAAGCATAATGTGTTAAAGGTTAATAATATATTTCCTGAGAAAATAAATGCCCTAAAATCCTTTCTGTTTTATCAGTCGTTTATGCCCGATCTGCACCGGAAATCGGATCTCACGCTACTTCTTTTGGCTAACTTTTTCGGCTTTGGATTTAAACATAAATCTAGTCTTTTTGAGTTTTATGGGTTTTTTACTTATGGACACCTGCATGTATATCTGTTTGCGCATGTGCAGGACGGATCGCGCTTCCGGGATGGATTGGGTAGTGATGCTGCCTGTTTGCTATAAAATCTGGACACCCCCACCTCTTTTCCTCTCTTTCTCCTGACTCCAATAGAGTTCCACGTTAGGGAGGATGTCACCTGCCGAGGGATTACATTCTCCACAACCTCCAAAACAAAGTTTGTCTGATAGCTATATGATTTGTGTTTCTTGATCTGTTAATTGCGTTTGATTGATAAAGATTTACCAAAGACTCCCTTTTTTGAGTCCTGCTTGCTATCAGCTCATAAGCTAAATAAGCTAAAAAAGCTCAACCTTCTGTCAGGGTTCTCCTCCATTTTTAAAACCTCATTTAAAAAACAAATTACAAAACATTTAAGGTCAGTTTTTTAAATGGGTATTGATTTCTGAATGGGAAAATCATTGAATAAAATATAATTTTAACTAAATAAAAGTTTTTATTATTTGGATATTAAATATTTTTTTGTGATTTGAACACATCACATAACTAAAGTAGTTCAAAGGTTTATTTGACCTAATTTCAAACTTTTCAGGGTAAACTTTGTTTCACAAATATAAAATCCAGGTTTAACTGTGATATCCTTGCATCTTTTTTTTACTATGCTTT